CAGATAAAGAAAACACCAGCGCAATGGGAAGGGATCGGTGGGAAGGATAGGTTGCCGGATATGGCGCGAGCGCACCTAGCTTCTCGTCACCCCTCCCCCTCCTCCCTCCTCCCCCCTCCCCCCTCCGTCCCCCTTCTCCTCCTCCTCCTCCTTCTCCTCCTCCTCCTCTCTTCCTCCTCCTCCTCCCCCGCCTCCTCCTCCTCTTCCTCCTCCTCCTCCTCCCTCTCCTCCACCAGCGGCGCTAGTAGCTGCTCGTGTAATACCCAGTCACTTCCTCCTCCTCCTCCTTTTCCTCCTCCTCTCCTCCTCCCTCCTCCTCCCTCCTGCTCGTGCCTGCCCCCCTCCCCCCTCCTCCCTGTCCCCCCCCCCCCACCCTCTTCCCTCCCCTTCTCCTCCCTCCCCTTCTCCCCCCTCCCCTCCCCTCCTCCCCCCCTCTCCCCCTCCCCCCCTCTCCCCTCCCTGACCGCCTCGAGGGCTGATCCTTCGAGGGTCCGTGCCCCTCCCTGGGCCTCCCCCCTCCCCGCCCGCGCTTCGGACAGGAGCTCGAGGACGCGGAGCCGCCGCGGCGCGGCCTCGGCGAGGAGGCGCTGGAACGCCTGCCGCTGGAGGCGGGCCGTGCCGCCTCGCGCCCCGAGGGTGGGTGGGTGGGCGGGCAGCTGGAGCATGTTCCTGGGCCAGGGCCCCTGCCTTTCTATAGCCATCGGTCGTTGAAAGTCGGTATTTTAGGATTCACATCTCCCAATCCACTGTAAGCGCCTTCCCACCTCAATAATCGAGAGGCTTCACCTTTTCTGGGCGGAAGCCCAATCTGCTTCCAGCGCCTTCCTACTTCATGGTTCTACCTGCTTCTTCTGACCGATGGGTAGAGCTGCGCGCAGGAACCTGACAGCTCCTTTTTCGGGTCGTCGGTGCAGCTTTGGAGGGGTCGGCGCGTCGCCCGTGGCGGCCAGTGGATCCCAAACAGACGCTGCAGGTCGAAGAAGAAAGTGGCACGCCTCCCGAGCGCCCTGCGCCCCGATCCTCGAGACCTGGCCCCCCAGGCATACTCAAGGCACAATGCTTCGAGAGGTGGTCGTCGGCTCTCCCAGACATCCAGCGTCTCGAACAAAAATGTAGGCGGAGTTTCTTCGTCGTTTTCGGCGGTTCGGGGCCCTCACGAGGCCTTGGGGCCGTCAAACAACGGCTGGGGATGAAAGGCCGGTCCCAGGGAAGTGGTCGAGTGGTCGGGGGCCCGTGTCTCAACAAAAATCGACACGCCGGATTTCTGGGCTTGGACATCTTCTCGCCACGGGATGCTCTCAAGCAGCTGCGCCTCGCCGTGAGCGTCCCTCGGAGTGCCTGGAGGCCATCGGAGACCAGAGTTATGATCCGCAAGCCGAGGAGCCTCATACATTATGTTTCCTAACAACGTTCCGCTAGAGGGTTCTAATCGAGGTAAGACGCAGTGGAAGAGTCCCACTGGGAGGACGGGAAGCCCTAGACAGCCTGGTCCAGCAGCCGTTTCGCTTGAGACCTCCTCGCAATTTATGCAGGAATCGCGCTCTCGCTTCAACGCTGGCTACATTTTTGGTCTCACAGGAGGAGGGACGGGGAGCCCTATACCATCCGTTCCGGCAGGTATTTCGCTTAAGGTTTCCTTGCATTTTTGAAGGAATTGTACTCTCGTGTCAATGCCAGCTGCATATTTCGTCTGGTGCACATGGCCGTGCTCTTACCTCTGTCTCGGCTCCGTCTCGCCTGAGATTTCCCCACCACTGATTCAGGTAATGCTGGCTATACTTTTGGTCCGGAAGGCAACCATCCTTTGTAACACGTGCACGAAGGTGCACGTGGCCGTGCTCTCACCCCTGTCCCGGCTGTATCTTTTCTTTCTCAGGGCTTCCCCGGCGTGCTTCTCCTGTTTCCCGACCCGTCTCCTCACCTGTGGTGCTGTCAGGGTGCTCTGCTGGGATGTTCTGTGAGTGGCGACGTGGGACACGAGGCGTCGGATAGCAGCCCCTGGGGCGCAGCAGGGCTCACTGTGCACCGGTGCTGGTGGAAAAGAAGGGGGAGCGGCCGCGGAGGAGGGCAGAGGAGGGAGCCGCGCTCGGAGCGTGCAGCACTTCACGCCTGGCAGTGACCAGCACGCCATGGCAAGAGCCGATCGAGGACGATCGAGGACCTCGAACCGAGACCAGATCGAGGGTGAATTCTCGGGCGTCGCGCCCAGAACTCGGCAGACATCGGGCCTTGGTGATGATGACGATGGTGCTGTTGCTGATGATGCTGCTGGTGATGATGATGCTGCTGATGATGATGAGGCTGCTGCTGATGCTGCCGCTGTTGATGCTGATGCTCATGATAATGATGATGATGGTGCTGCTGACGATGATGCTGAAGAAGATGATGATAATAATGATGATGGTGAAGATGATAATGGTGCTGGTGTTGATAATAAATATGCTGATGCTGGTGATGATGCTGATGCTGATGATGATGACGGCGATAATGATGATGCTGCTGATGATGATGGTGATGATGATGATGCTGATGCTGATGATGCTGATGCTGCTGATGATTCCGATGGTGATGATGGTGATGATGACGATGATGATGATGACGATGATGCTGATCTTGTTGATGGTGATACTGATTGTGATTATGATATAGAATGTTTCTGTTGATGATGATGCTGATGTTGACGATTGACATGCTGCTGACGACGATGCTGATTGCGGTGGTGGTGATGCTGGTGTGATGATGACAATGCTCATGATCATGCTGACGCTTTTTTTTCTGCTGACGATGATGCTGATGGCGGTGGGGGTGATGATGGTGATGGTGATGATGATAATGATAATGATGCTGATGATGATGCTGACGCTGCTGCTGATGCTGACGCTGCTGGTGATGATGCTGATGCTGATGGTGGTGGTGGTAATGATCATGCTGCTGCTGACGATGATGGTGAGGATGATGGTGATGCTGATGATGATGAACATGGTCAGGATGCTGATGATGATGATGATGATGATGATGACGGCGATGCTGATCCTGATGCTGATTCTGTTGATGATGATGCTGATGATGATGCTGCTGATGCTGATTATGATGATGATGGTGGTGGTGATGATGATGATGATGCCGAGACTGTTGATGATTATGCTGATGATGATGATTATGCTGATGTTGACGATGCTGGTAATGATGATGGTGATGCTGATCATGATGATGATGCTGAGGCTGATGATGACGGTGATGATGATGATGATGATGATGATGACGCCGATGATGATGAGGAGGATGCTGATGCTGATGTTGATGATGATGCTGACGCTGATGCTGACGCTGCTGGTGATGATGGTGGTGCTGATGGTGGTGGTGGTAATGATGCTGCTGCTGATGATGATGGCGAGGATGATGGTGATGATGATGATGATGCTGATGATCATGCTGCGGATGATGATGATGATGATGATGATGCTGATGATGATGATGATGATGATGATGATAATGGCGATGCTGATTGTGTTGCTGATGCTGCTGATGATGCTAAAGATGCTGCTGATGATGATGATTATGCTGATGATGATGATGATGATGATGATGATGATGATGATCCTGATGCTGTTGCTTTGCTTGATGATGTTGATGATGCTGGTAATCATGATGGTGATGCTGATGCTGATCATGATGATGATGCTGATGCTGATGCCGATGGTGATGACGCTGGTGATGACGATGCTGATGATGATGATGATGCCGATGTTGATGAGGATGATGCTGATGCTGATCATGGTGATGCTGATGAGGCTGCTGCTGATGATGCAGATGACCATGCTGATGCTGAAGATGATGCTGATGATGATGTTGTTGTTGCTGTTGGTGATGCTGTTACTGGTGTTGAGGCTGATGATACTGACCATGATGTTGCTCCTGCAAATGGTAATCATGATGCTGCTGCTGATGATGATGATGACGATGATGCTGATGATGCTGATACGGCTGATGATGATGGGTATGATGATGATGTGATGCTGATGATGATGATGGTGATGATGATGATGATGATGATGCTGATGACGATGATCATGGTGTTGGTGATGATGATGATGATGATGATGATGATGATGATGATGATGCTGATGCTGCTGATGCTGCTGCTGATGATGATGCTGCTGCTGATGATGATGATGATGATGATGCTGCTGGTGAGGATGAGTTGGAGGAGGAGGATGACGAGGAGGGATAGCAGGAACAGCATGGTGAGGAGGAGGAGGAGGAGGAAGAGGATGAGGAGGAGGAGGACGAGGAGGAGGATAAGGAGGAGGAGGAGGAGAAGGAGTAGGAGGATGAGGAGGAGGAGGAGGAGGAGGAGGAGGAGAAGGCTGGGGGGGAGGATGAGGAGCAGGATGATGATGCTGATGATGATGATGATGATGATGATGATGATGCTGATGATGATGATGATGCTGATGGTCATGATGATGATGATGCTGATGATGATGATGATGAAGATGATGATGATGATGATGCTGATGATGATGGTGCTGATGAGGATGAGGATGATAATGAGGATGATGCTTCTGATGATGATGATGCTGATGATGATGATGATGGTGATGATGATGATGATGATGATGATGATGATGATGAGCATGAAGATGAGCATGATGATGAGGAGGAGGAGGAGGAACGGGAGAAGGAGGCGGAGGAGGAGGGGGGGGGGAGGGAAGCGTCGGGAATGGACGGATTTGTTTATGGACGGATGGACGGATGGGTGGATGGATGGATGGATGGACGGATGGATGGGATGGATGGATGATGATGATGCTGATGATGAGGAGGAGGAAGAGGAGGACGATGAGGATGGGTGGATGGATGGATGGACGGATGGACGGAAGGACGGACGGACGGACGGACGGACGGATGCATGGATGGATGGATGGACGGATGGATGGATGGATGGAGATTATGATGATGACGATGGTGATGTTGATGATGATGATGATGCTGATGATGATGATGATGCTGATGCTGATGCTGATGCTGGTGATTGTGATGATGATGATGATGCTGCTGCTGATGATGAAGATGATGATGACGATGATGATGATGATGCTGATTATGCTGATGATGCTGCTGATGATGATGTTGACGATGATGATGATGATGATGATGCTGATAATGATGATGACGATGATGATGATGATGCTGATGCTGATGCTGATGCTGATGCTGATGATGATGATGCTGCTGATGCTGATGATGATGATGATGATGCTGATGATGATGCTGATGATGATGATGGTGATGATGATCATGATGATGATGATGATGATGATGATGATGATGATGATGATGATGATGATGATGATGATGATGATGATGATGATGATGATGATGATGTTGTTGTTGATGATGATGATGATGATGATGATGATGATGATGATGATGATACTGATACTGGCACTGATACTGATACTGATACTGATACTGATACTGATAATGATAATGATACTGATACTGGCACTGATACTGATACTGATACTGATACTGATACTGATACTGATACTGATACTGATGCTGATGAGGAGGACGATGATGCTGATGGATGGACGGATTGATGGATGGATGGATGGATGGATGGAGGAGCACGATGATGAGGAGGAGGAGTAAGGGGAGGAGGAGGAGGAGGAGGAGGAGGAGGAGGAGGAGGAGATCACTGGGTATATCAGTAACAGCCACCAGCGCCGCTGCTGGAAAAGTAGGGCAGAGGAGAAAGGATGCGGAGGAGAGGAGGAGGAGGAGCCGAGAGGAGGAGGGGGAGGAGGAGGAAGGGGAGGATTAGGAGGAGGAGGAGGAGGATGAGGATGATGATGATGCTGGATGATGATGATGATGATGATGATGAGATGATGTGTGATGATGATGACATGATGATGATGATGAGATGATGATGCTGGATGATGACTGATGATGATGCATGATGACTGATAGCTGATGAGGAGATGTGATGAGGACGGAGGAGGATGAGGAGGAGGGGGAGGCAGGAGGAGGGGGGAGGAGCGAAGCGGAGGGGATGGGATGGTGGGTGTCTGGATGGATGGGATGGACGGATGGATGATGGATTGATGGATTGGATTGGCTGATGGATGGATGGATTGAGAGGGCGGTGGGGTGGTAGGGAGTGAGGTGGAGAAGTGATGGAGGGATGGATTGAGGGGGCCCCAGGGAGACAACCGGAGGAGGATGGAGGAGGGAGAGAAGGGAGAGGGAGGGAGGAGGTAGGAGGAGGGAGAAGGTATTATAGGATGAGGATAGAGGGTGGAGGATGGATGGATGTATTGAGGGAGAGAGGGGCAGCATGAGGAGGAGGAGGGTAGGGAGGAGGAGGAGGAGGAGGGGAGGAGGATGAGGAGGAGGAGGAGGAGGAGGGGGCGATGCGGACTGGGAGGCCCCTTCCCCTGGGGGGTAGTTTGGCGTCCTGGATCCGATTTCGATAACCCTATAGAGACCGAAAAGGGTCCCCGAGGGCCCGGGGCCGAAACCGAGGAACATCCGCCGGTTGAAAACATTATACGGTGAAGGCGTTGGGTAAGGAGTGTGCCCAGGGGGCTTCGTACCCTGAAGGGTCCCTTATCTGATGAGAGCGGCGGTGATATCCATGGTCAATGCACGATTGGAGCTTCGCTGGCTCCCGGACCCTGCATTCCTTATCCAATGGCTCCTTATCCAGTGCCCTCACCGTGTCGTCGGGGATCCGAGGTGCTGAGCGCCTCCAAGATCGAGCGGATGCGCAGCGGCAAGGAGGAGCGCCGCGCGCCGCGCACCGCGGCTGCCGGCGGGCGTTCCAGACTGGGCCCCGTGCGCCTCCGGCCTCGGAGGGCCTCCGAGGGCCTCCGTCGCGCGCCCCGTGCGCCTCTGAGGCCCCCCCGAAGTCGCCGAGGGCCGTCGAGGGCCTCCGAGGGCCGCCGAGGGCCGCCGAGGGCCGCCGAGGGCCGCCGAGGGCCGCCGAGGGCGTGCGAGGGCCTCCGAGGGCCTCCGAGGGCAGCCGAGGGCCGCCGAGGGCTTCCGAGGGCGTGCGGGGGCCAAGGCCTCCGAGGGCCTCCGAGGGGGTAGCAACTCCGTCAACGCGGCCAAGAAGAACTCGGCCAGGCTGATCTCGGCCAGCGGAGCTCGGCTGATCTCGGCCGGCTGATCTCAGCCAGGCTGAGCTCGGCCAAATTGAATTCGGCCCAGGCCGAGTTCAGCCTGGAGTGCAGCTCGCCGAGTTCAGCCTGGCCGACTTTCGCCTGGCCGAGTCCTCTCAGGGCCCTCGAGGGCCCCTCGGCGCCAGTGCGCACGTAATTAGTCACGCCCCGCGGTGCACCCAGACCTCCCCGTGTTCGGTAGCAGATCAAGGAAGCCTCGTATGTCCTCGAACGTCGTAGAGTGCATTCGTGTGTGCTAGCGTCCGGTGGTCGATGAGAAAGCGCCAATCCCTTAGCGATCAGCATCGATTTAGCGTCGACAAGCATCGTTTTGCGCCGATCAGCGTCAGTTAGCTTCGATCCGTAAGAGCCAGCAAGATGATATGGGAGGTTCCTCTGAGTTGTTACAGAGCCCGTACTGCGAAACAAATCGCGGTGGACCCGGGGCGTCAAAGAGCGGCCAGGGATGAGAGGCTGGTCCCCTGGGGAAGGGTTCCAGACCTCCAGGCCCGTAAAAACACGGCGTTTGGATTCTAGGTCCGAGGAGTCCGAGGGGTCTCCGATCGCGCGCCGGTGCACACGAGGTCACGCCGTTCGGTGCACGTCGGCTCCGGCGGGTCCGATCCGACCAAGAGCTTTTGTTTTCCAGGACCCTTGCGCCTTCTTATTTGGTTCGTGTCCTCTGGCGGTAGCGGGCGCTACTCTGGGGGAGGGAAGAGGACGGTCATGTCAGGATTTGCGCCAGCGCCCTCTGGTCATCGAGGACACAATAACCCCTAACCCTAATAATACAATGAAGACGTAGCCTCACTGAGGTCCCCTTTTCCGCATTAGGGCTGATACATCTGGGCGGTTTGGCCTGGCACATCTGCAGAAAAGACCCCATATCCCCAATGTTCCTGGCCCTCCTAACTTAGGTCCCCTCCCAAAGGTTTAGGAATCCTCCTCATGTCCAGTGATCTGGGACTTTGGCTACTTGGAGTTTCCATGCGGCGTTGGCGCGCAGCGTGACCTCTGACTGGGGGTGGGGCGGAGGGCCAGGTGCTGCCAGAGGGGTCCCTGGCCGAGGTGTGGACGTCATGTCCGATGAGGCCCTTCACGAGGTCCAGTGGGCCTCGGCGGCGCCCAGCTGGGCAGGGGAAGCTGGGAGGCTGGGGGCACTTTCAGCCAGGAGCACCTTTTGGCAACTCCCGAGAGAGGGGAGACACAGGCGTCGGACGTTGCAGTCCAACGGGATCATGATTCAGAATGAGTCGTTTTCGGAGGGCACCCTCTCAGCCTTGCATCTTCGCGCCATCCTCAGCGGCCAGTATCGCGGGCCACTTCCGCTCAAAAGGCGTCAATTTTGGCAGCCAAGTTCCGCTCATTCTTCCCGCGCGTCCCAATGATTTTGTCGCGCTGTATCACGAGCACTTTGAACTCGAGCTCCTCTTGCATGGGCCCCTACTGGCAGGGCGTCAGAGCACAACCTGCGGGTGCTGTGGCAGCTTGCCGTGCGGTTTCATCTTGGGCGGGCAGTCGGTCCGCCTGTGCATGTCGGAAGTCAGAGTGCATGCTCGCAAGAGGAAATTACCGCACCCTTCCCTCGCCTACGCCCGTGTGTACCGTCTGGTTTTTCTCTCGTCGTCACGGCCGGATTCGCCACAAAATGCTCGTCAGAACGAGCCCCAGGAGAGGTTTGGGGATCAGCGGCATGGGCATCGTGTTGCCCCTCCCTCCCCCCCACATGCAGCGCGCCTGTGCGGTCGAACAACGCCAGTGTATCATCATTGCTGAGTTATCGCGCCCGATGCATGCGTTCGTGGCGCGGACTTCGTTGCTGCTCGGATGCCTGATCTGCACTCCCACGTCTGTTCAGCCATGGTGGGCGCTTCTTTGGGAGGATCCGGTCTGCACAGTCTGCTACGAGGAGCCCCGCGCTTCTCCTGAGACGACTTGCGCTTGCTTCTAATTGATTTGTAAGGGACTGTATTTCTTGCTCGGTGTGCAACCGATCACCATGAAGAAAGGGGTCCGACCATATGATTTGTTCGGCTGGCGTTTTTACAACATGTTCTGCCCTCGGGGGCCGTTTTCGGGCCCCAGCACCAGCAAAACCCGATCGGGGATGAACAACTATCTCCAGGAAAACGGTCGGGGCTTCGAGGGTCGCGGGTGGAAGCAACCGTATCATATTTGCGGATGTCAGGGGTTTCGGGAGGGCGTCTCAGGAAGACCTTGTTGCGGGCGCCGGGCCAGTGGGCCCCGTCTCAGTCGCATATTCGTGGATGCAGCCTGGTAGCAAGGATTTCCATGCTCTTGCCTTCATCACCTGGTGCCGACATTCCAGAGCCCACATTCTGCGTTTTGTTCTCAGCATTGCACTGTGCTGACTCAACATGCCCTTTGCGACTTGTGGTGGCGGCGCTCCTGCTTACATATCGTTCTCTCTTTGTCCTCCTCCTCACCTTCGACGGCAGGCGAACAGGGCAATGCTGGCCAACCTCGGAACACAGACCAGATGGAGCTGTGCGTGGGGTCCTGGGGGTTGTACTGGGATCGCTCTGGGGAGCGCTTCTGTTTCAGGTTCCGCTGGGCGTCTCGCACCCGGTCGTGGAAGAAAAGGGAGCGCCGCGGTCGAGGTGGAGGCGGACCGCCCAGGGAACGGGCCCCGGAGGCAGAGCGCAGGCCAATGCCCAGGGCCCAAGGAGGCCGACGGGGGATCGACCAGGGGGAGGGAGGGACGAGGGAGGAGGAGGAGGATGAGAGGAGGAGGAGGAGAAGGAGGAGGAGGAGAAGGACGAGGACGAGGAGGAGGAGGAGGAGGAGGAGGAGGAGGAGGAGAAGAA